GAGACCAGCAGCGCATCATCTTCCCCTCTGGAGCCAGGAAGCGATGCTCAAAGCGAGGACCAGAGCTCCTCCAAAGTGAACGAAAGCCATTCTCAGTGCTAACAAGGTCCGGAGCTCCTCGGAGGATGAAAATAGCCAAGTTCATCAGGAAAGCCAACATGACAAGCTCCTCCAAAAAACCAACAGCTCTTTACAGCTTCCACCAGCTCCAATAGCCTCTCAGCTCCCAACAGCCTCCTTCACCTTCTCCAGGTCTACCTCTTCTGCTGCTGGCAACAGTCCCCAGGTGGGCCTCCCACACCCAGCACCAAGCTTACTCAGTTCAGCCGGGGGTTATAAGTTGACCACCAGTTATCAGTCCACTACAGCCCCCCTCTAATAATTAGTGCAGATTACATCCACAGGATATTCATCTATCACGTTGGTCATTGTTCTATGAAGAAGAGTCAGGAAAAATATAGATACTTTAAAAAATACTGATGTCAATTTAAAGAGGAAAATAGTAGATTTTAGGAAGCAGGGAGGTAGGTGTTTTGCAAGTGGAAAGGGGACACAAGGATGGGGGGAGAGAGGAAGGGCAGTTAAGAAGGACTGAGATGTGATCGGTACATGAACCAGCCCCCAGTAAGAATGTATTCATTATGTACTACAACCATGTACTAATAGAAATTTTAAAATTAAAGAAAAAAAAGTAAAAAAAATACTAATGTATTAATATGCACAGAAAATTCTAATTCAGATTTAGGACTACATTGTTTATCCTTGACCTAGTTGATCCTTATTTATATTAGTTACACCAAAAATCTTGGTTCTGGTTATAATTATTTTATCCCATACATGTAGTCTCAGAATAATTGATATTATTATTCACATAGGATTACTATTAACACTTTAAGATTATTTGGAACTCTTTTCAACCCCAAAGTATGCCTGTACTCTAGAGGTATATTGTAGTCCATGATATAGTCAAATAGTTAAATTTTTATTTTATTTTTAAATTTTTAGTAAAAATTAAGATGTGTTATGTACAGGTACGAATTCCTCATGATGAATGTCGTTATATACTGTCAGTACATACTAACAAAAATTAAAAAGTAAAGTCACTAAAAATCCCTCATTCATTTTCTTCATTTTATCCTAATTTCTAAATTGCTTTTTTAAAAAATTAATGGATAGAATATGCACACAGTTCTAAGGTCTAATTAATAGAACAAAGTACATTAGGGAAGTCTAGCTTCCATCTCTTACCCTTTTCCTTTACTTCCCCCCATTATTAGTTCATTCTATCACTTAAAAAATAGTAGATGCTTCCATTCTCTCCTTGTCATCTTAGGTGAACAGTAGCATCCCACCCTCTTGCTCTGAAAATAAGACCTGGCTGGAAAGTACTCAGCCTTGACAACTAGAGACCGAGAATGCCCGTCCAGTCACCGTTCTCGCCTCCCCTGCCCTTCTGAAGAATAGTGGTGGCGGTGAGGCCGGGACAGGCTGTGTGGGGCCGGCGTGTCTGAGCTCCAGTTGTCAGGGCTGATTGTTTATCAGCTAGGCCTTATCTGGGGGAGACATGGTATGCGTGTGAGTTTCCATCTTGCTTTCTTTGCACACTAGTACATCCTGCGGGTCCCGCCACAGCAGTGAGCAGAGGTCTGCGTTCCTTTTGCAGCTGTGTAGTGCTGTATTGGTGGGTTCATGTAGTTTGTCCAACTGGTCCCTATAATTGATTTTGTTTTAATGTAATGTGAAGGGGTGATTTTAGTGTTACTAGGTTATTAAGACTTTAGAATTCCTTTGTATTCTTAGTGGCTTTGCATGTAACAATAATATTTGTTAAAATGAAACTTCAGTTTTTTTTTTTTTTTTTTGTTTTTTCTCCGGTACCAGGAACCGAACTCACGACCTTGCGCTTGCCAGGCAAGCGCTTTTGCCGCTGAGCTAAATCCCAGCCCCGAAACTTCAGTTTTAAAGCATCTCAAAAAGAGCTCTTTTTCAAACTTAGTTTACATTTCCTTGTGGTGTCATTGCTCCTTGACTAATTATTTGACCATGGTGATAATTTTTAATGTAGTTTATAGCATACATGTGTTATACCATCCAGTCAGAACTGTGAATACTTTGTATCTAGTGAGAAATAAACACAGAGTTGTAATTGAAGTCAGATGATTTTATTTTAATGTGTGGGATTCAACATTTTTCGTTTTTTTTCACCTTTTATGTATATTCATAGAATTTCTTTTTGGTAAGAGACACCTGAATGTATCTTACTTATTCTCTGTTCTATTCATTTATTTCCAATATGATTTGTCAAAAATCCCACTGTCATCACTTTGCCTTAACCATAGGAATGGCCAAGCCACATGTGAGTTCTTGCCGCTGCTCGAGTGTGGCTCTTACAGGACCATCTTCCACTAACTCGAGTGTGCACCTGAGGCGGAAGGAGAGTTCCTGGCACTGCTTTGGGACTTCTTTTTGTTTGTTCATCTCTTTGGGCCTTATGGGAATATAAATCTTTTAAATAACTCCTAAAAACAATATAACTAAGTAAAGAGATATTGTCATTAAGACTTATTTATTGCCAGCACTGTCAGCAGGCAACATTCTGTGAGGTGCTGGGTCACTCTGTGTGTAGCTGACTCTTGTCTTCCTTTTGTCTTCTAGTGCATCCCACTCTTTGTCCAGCTTGTTCTGGAGAGGTTAACTCGAGGGGTCAAAACAAGTGAGCTCCGCACGATGTGTCTACAGGTTGCGATCGCTGCCCTGTACTACAACCCTGACCTGCTGCTGCACACCTTAGAACGAATTCAGCTGCCTCACAACCCTGGACCTATCACTGTACAGTTTGTAAATCAGTGGATGAACGATACAGATTATTTTCTTGGGTATGTGCCTTTTAGATTTTATACTCCGTTACACTTTGTGGGAAGTTTACTTTTTAATATGTACATGTGCAAAAATAATTGGGAGCTGTATTTAGTGGACTGTTAACATAATATTTACTTTTTGAAGAATTAAGACTGTGTTTCAGCAGTGTAATCTAGTAAAAGAATGCAGGCTGGGAAAAGTAAGAGCCCCCCCAACCGGCTTTCTGCGTATCTATATCTAGGCAATCGTTAAGCGTCTGTCTGAATTCTGTGCTGTAAGTGTCTGTGGTTAAACATTGTGAACGGAGTCACGTTTCCCAGGAAGGTCCCAGTCGGGCAAAGATACGGCGTGCTGAGTGTGCTCAGATGGGCATAGCTCTTCGCACATCTCGAGGTGCCTGTTCTCAAGTGTGGGCTTGGGGGAGAGGTAGTTGTCACTCAAGTGCTGCCCATGTAGGCGAGTCTGGCTTTGTGGGAAGCACTCTCCTAGCATTCAAATGTAAGAAAAGTGAGGTCCCAAGTAGTGGTTACGTGCCCGTCTCCGCTGAAGCAAACATTGTAGTGAAAGTATTGTACTGGAATTTGGGTAGTATGGCCTCTAAAATTTGTTTGGAAGTACTGGAAATAAGGAGTGCTCTTTTTAAGTTTTGTAATATGTCACTGCAGACAGTTTGCTGAGAGGAGTGGACATCCAGCAGGAGTTCGCACGCTACCACGTGGGTGGGAGATGGCCCAGGTCTGGATTAGGCTGGTAGAGTAGGATTGGGTAAACGTATTTATAAGATGCTGTGTGTTGGAGGGCTGGGGATGTAGCACAGTGGCACAGCGCCCGCCTGGCAAGTACAAGGTCCTCAGTTCGATTCCTGGTACAAAAGAAAAAAAAAATTGCTATGTGTTCCCTATTCTGTCTGCTTTTTAGGAGAGTGGTTGTCTTAGTTACTTTTCTTGTTGCTGAGACAAAATACCTGACACCCAAAGTTAAAAGAGGAAAGGTTTATGGTAGCTCACAGTCTGTAGAGATTCTTGCATCACATAGCCAAGGTCAGTGGTGGCAAACCTCTTGCACGGTGCTGCAGCTGGATATTTGTTATCACTGAAAGCTCTGAAAGGTTCGCCCTCACTGCCCTAAATCCATTCACCTCTGAAAAACCCCATCTATGGCCAAATGAGGCTTTTGGGAACACCTAGATAAAAGCCATAACACTGGTATTTATGCTACATTAAGATTTGTTAAAACCTTGATGGGGAGAATGTAGTTCAAAAAGAAATTATGCTAAAAGTTGTCTCTGACAAAGGTTTGGAGACAAAGGTTAGAGAGTAGAGATTTGTTCCTGCAGTTGTGTTGCTATGTGTATATGTTTTTCAGTATTTGCAAGCAGTTTTTCAGAGATAGAAAGGCCATCTGTCTTACCTGTGCCATGGATGGCCCATCCTTGGTTAGTGCCTCTTTGGATTCTGAGAGACCGACTAACGAGTCCTCTTCCTGTTGCATGTGGTGTGTACTCTACCAGTCAGGGACTACCTGAGTGAGAAAACCTTCAGGTCAAGTGTAGGTTGTGTCATACTGCTCGGGCAGTAGTGACGTAAATAAGCAACGTGGGTATTGAAGAATAACAGTAGCTCATGATACACTCATCAGTTTGTTCCAGTCTCATTTTAAATAAATCATGGCAAGTAAGTTTTTCTTTTAAGAGTATCATACTAATATAGTAGTCTTTTAATATCTCTATCTTGTAACGCTTTCAAGAAGCACTTCATAGAAAAATGCCTGCTGTAAAGTTGGCCAGTTTTCCTTCAGAATTGCGTTTTCTTTATGCTGTACGGTCACAGAGGGTGCTGATAGATTTACTCGTAGCCCTTAGGCTCAGCACACCAGATGCGAGGTTTGTGAACACGCTTTTGGCACCTGGGTTAGTGCAGAGTACATGTACCAAGAAGCCTCGAGGACCGGGCTCATGATGGAGGAGTCTGCGAACTTCATTTTCTCCCCATTGTAGAAATTTTATGTTGTCAAAATGCAGATGTTTCTGCTTTAGCAACATTCATTATGCCAACACTTAGAGACTTTGCATTAATCACAAATTGATGTTACAACAAGATTCATCATAGTAATCTCAGGTTCTCATAGGTCTTTGATGTCAGTAATTGGTTCATAACATTTAATTTAATAGCGCTTCATACAGTGCAAAACTGAAGCTATTTCTAAATAACTCTGAGGAATCTTTAGCGTACACCTTGGGCATTTCTTTTTGTAGTTTCTCTGGATGTTGTCCTTTATTGCATTGTTCATGTCTACATTTTTTTTCTTCACAATTTGCAGGCATCATGACCGGAAGATGTGTATAATAGGGCTGAGTATCCTTCTGGAGTTACAGAACCGGCCTCCTGCAGTAGAAGCTGTGGTGGGACAGATCGTGCCCTCAGTCCTTTTCCTTTTCCTTGGCCTAAAGCAGGTCTGTGCGACTAGACAACTGGTGCACCGGGATGATCGTTCAAAGGTGGAGAAAGCTGATATGGAAGAAAATGGTAAATAAAATTTTCTGATTTGTCTGGAATTGATTTTGAGTTGAGTTTGCATTTTCTTTGAATTTTAGTTTGATGGAGTCATTAAGGAAATTTACATTCACGGGTCTACTGCACATGTAACAAGTATTGTGGGTTTGGTTACTTGTAATTGATTACCTGAAGTGGGATCAATTTAGCTTTCTGTATCTCTTGACACTTAAAACTGCCTTGATTTTAAGTGGAGCCTAATGGAGGTTATTATAGGTTAGGAAATACGTTTGTAACAGAAGCAAATGGTCTTGACTGTAGATTAGATTAGGAACCTACTGTTTCTTTTTTTGTTTTGTTTTGTTTTGTTTTTTGAGGCAGAGTCTTGCTGTATAGTTCAGGCTGCCCCTGAACTCACTATGTAGCCCAGGCTGGCCTTGAACTTGCGGCAATCCTCCTGCCCCAGCCTCCCATATGCTGGGATTACAGGCATGCACCACCATGCCCTACCTGCTTCATTTTCTTATTTATGCTAATAGATTTAAGGCAGCAACCTTGAATTAAATGAACCACTAAGAACAGAATTATCAGGGCAGTGGATTGGTAGAGATTGTCTGATTAAAAAAACAACAACAAAAAAGGACATATGTGATTGATCTTCAAAAATTGTAAGTGCTTTACATATAAATTTAGAGCAAAGCACATAAAGATGATTTGCTCATTTGAGAGATTGTTAGTGCCAGTTCTTTCAGACTATTATTTTAGGTAATGATGAGCTTATGCAGCTTCACGCTGGGGACTGGGGAGTGGCACTGTCCACCTCTTTGGTAGTTTTTTTCTCTTCTATTTAAAAACAGTTCCTTTCTTCTTTCTTTTTTTTGCCTAGAAAGATCAGAATTGTTCTAGAAAAACATAGAAATCTATTTTTTATGCTAAATTCTGCGATTTTGGCAAGTATAGATTTAAAACACTCTTCACTTAATTGGCAGCTTGTTCATGTACAAGGGTGTTAAACTGCCTTTCTCCCGCTCCCAATGCAAAACACCCTCTGATTTGTTTTTCTGAATTCAAAGTAGGTCTTTTGAAGTTGTACTCTTCTTAGACGTTTTTTTCTGTTATGTGGTGGGAACTAAGCATATGTCAATAATTGTAGAATTCTTTTTCATTATGTTATATACTCTAATTTCTTGGTTTGTTAACTTTATTAGCTTCTAACTAATGGCTTGGAGGAGAAATTTTTAGTAATTTCAAGCTTGAAAAAGGAATTTCTAGGAATTTCTAGTCTGGCTCATTAAATTTCACACTAAAGTGTGGAATGACTACCTCGCAAATATTATTTCTTGCTCTCTTTGTTATCATACCTTTGCAATCGTAGCTTTTTTTCTTCCCCACACATCTGGTCCAAAACTATGGCTTCTTGTCTTATCCCTAAAGTACGTGTGTTTAACCCAGTGGTTTCAGTATAGCATGTTTTATGGAACCAGCTGTAGACTAATATTGCCTGGTTTGAATTTGCTCCAGGTTTTTCTTCTTAGGTTGATGTTTATTCTTCATTTATTGCCTTCTGATTACAGACTTCCAGCTACAGTGCACCTCTAACTGAACAAATTAGTACTGAACATAGGGGATGTGTAATTTGGTTTTTTATTTTCCTAAGCCGTGTGTAGCTGCTTCTTTATTTTTCCTTGCATTTTTATATTTTTACTGTTTCTGTAACAGAGAGGACCTTCCCATTTGAACATTTCTGAGCAGTTCATTGTCTACTCAAGAGACCTTAATTGGCAGTGAGAGGTCATTGTTTTTAAGACATGTGAACAGACTGCAAAATCACATTTTTTGACAGAAGGAAATTGCGGGGGATCTGCAGTTAAATAGTACTCTTATATTAATGGGGCAGCCACAGCATCACATTAACAGTGCTCAGCTGGACTACAGGGTTAGGGAAATTGTTTTCAAAGGGGATGAAGACATTCTCAATTTAGCAAGCTACAGTAAAGTTTATAATTCCAGGTAAGATTATGTGGTAATATTTCCATTTCCAGAGTATTTTGTAATCTTTGTTTTTTTATGGACTCTTACGTCCTTGTATGTTTGATTCCTTTTCAATGATTGGATTCACAGAGGAGATTTCCAGTGATGAGGAGGAGACAAATGTAAGCGCTCAAGCCATGCAGTCAAATAACAGGAGAGGCGAGGAGGAGGAGGAGGACGATGACGACTGGGATGAAGAAGTGCTGGAAGAAACCGCTCTGGAGGGGTTCAGCACGCCGCTCGACCTTGAGGATAGTGTGGATGAATATCAGTTTTTTACACAGGCTCTGCTGAGTACGTCTTTATGCATCTTGAGATACTTTTCCTAAACTTTCTTCGTGGTAGAAGTTGTTTTGGGATCTACTCAAAAATTGGTCCAGACTCTTTTTTAAAAATACATTTTTATTACAGAAATATCTAAACATATGCAAAATGAGAGATTAGTGTAATGAAACATTCATCAGCCAGTCCTTGCAGCTTTCGTCGTTGTGAAGTATGTGGCGGGGAGCTTGTAGCTTATCCTCACAGAAGAATTTCAGAAGTATCTACAGATACTGTTCATCCTTTTGGCACAAGGGCAGGCATTGCCACAGAGAAGGAAGTACTTCAGGCACATTTTACGCAAGGCTTGTGGTCACACACCGATTAGTAATTCACAGTCCCCGTGGAAAGGAACCAATCCACTTGTCTTACAGAGTGGCTCCTTACTACTTAAACAATTTACGACTTTGTAGAGCAAAAGACACTATAATTGTAGAGGACTCATTAAAAATTGGGAGAAAATATTTGTCACATGTGTCACAGGCTTAAAATGTGCAGTATCTGGCCAGGCATGGTAGCGCACGCCTGTAATCTCAGCACTTGGGAGGCTGAGGCAGGAGGATCACTGTAAGTTTGGGGCCAGTGTAGGCTACAAAGTGAGTTTAAGGTGAGCCTGAACTGCATAGCAAATCCCTATCTCAAAAAAAAAATCCAAAGGCCTTCTGCAGATGAGTAAGCCCAGTAAATTAGTACGCAAATGGAAGATGTAAATGTGGAAACTTTACAGAATAATAATAGTGAACCAATGAAAATATTTAGGAAATTATTAGTCAAATAGATGATAATGAAAAAAATCCCAGTAATGCTTATGATTTGTCTTTTGAGCAAGGTGAGCATTTTTGCATATAAGATGTTGTTATTCACAAGGCGACACTTGTGTAACACACTGACGTTATTCAGTGTTGCTGTAAATACCATCAATGGGGCTAGAAGCCTCTGTGCATTTATTGAAAGTTAGCCGGAGCTGGAGGCAGAGTACAGGGAGCAGCACCCACGGCACGAGCACAGTGAAAGAAGTGAGTGTGAATGTGGAGGGGCGCGCAGGGCCGCTCTGAGACCCTTCCTTCCGAACCCGGCCCCCATCATCGCTGGGAGTGTGCCTGGGCTGCGGCCTTGGTGCGCACAGCAGTGTGAAGATGCCTCGCGGGTGGCTAGGGCCCGTTTGTGCCCGATGCACAGAGCATCGCTCGGCATCTCTGAGGGAAGGCCGCGGTCCGCAGTGGCAGCCTTTGCCGCGCCTGTGGCCTGCAGTGTGGCCGAGAGCGTCCGCAGGGAGCGGACCAGGACGTGGCACTTGGCTCCGGAGGAGTTCTCAGGTTGTGGCATGCCAATGAGCTGAGGGGGTCTGAGTGCGTGAAGCCCTGGTTAACATAAGAGTGATGGGGTGCTTGCTTAGGCAGCACGTATACTTAAAAAAGAGTGGTAGAGCTGTGGATGGAGGGTGGAATTTCATGCAAAGAAGAAGATAGGTGTGGCCAAAGAGTCAAAGGTGTGAAGGTGGTGTTTTTTCAAGTACTGGTGATTGAACCCAGGGCCTTCGTACTGAGCTACACTCCCAGCCCTTTTTTTACTTTTGACTTTGAGACAGGGTCTTGCTACATTGCTGTTTCCAGGCTGGGCTCAAGGGTGTGATCTTCCTGCCTCACCCTCCCAGAGTGCTGGGATTACAGGTGTGCACCACTGTACTGCTAACAGTGCTGAGGGTCCACAGTGGTTACCTGGGAGACTAATAGAAACGGATGGAAAGGAGGGCATAGGAGGGGTTGGAATGCAGAAGTTTGATTTGCTTTTAGCTGTGTTGCATTTGAGGGCAGCTGTTGAAGTAGAAAGGGCCCGGAGATTAAGGGGAGATTCAGCCTAGGGCACAGACTGAGTCCGGTGTGGGAGCAGTGCTGGAGCTGCAGGAGCGGGTAAGCTCCACAGGAAGGTGGTTACTGCAGGGCTGCAGGTGTCCTGGGGCCCGACCTCAGGGAATGCCCTAACTAGTAAGCTCCAGACAGAAGTTGAGGGGAGGACAGCACAGAGCGGAGCTCAGCAGGCCCCACCGTCCTCTGGTGCCCCAGGTAGCGGAGTTCTCAGAGGGCACTCGGAAGTGGCCCTCCGTTCCTCACCCTGGCTTGTAGGCTTTGACCATGCCACTTGTTTCTCTGAGAGGATAACTGTCTCCGGACTCTTCTCTTCCCCTCCTCCTCCCGCACATGCCTGAAACACAACAGCTGTGCAGAGTCGAGATGCTGCCTGGTACCAGCAGCTGACGGCCCCCCTGAGTGACGACCAGAAGAGGATGCTGCAGGAGGTGTACACCTTGGCAGAGCACCGAAGGGCGGCGGCAGGTCAGTGGCGTTCGGGTGGCATAGTGCTGGGGTCAGCCTTCTTTGATGTGCCAGGTGGCACTGAAATAGTATTTTTTAAATTGTTAGAGGTGGGATGTGGTGGCACATGCGTGTAATCCCAGTACTCAGGAGGCTGAGGCAGGAGAATCTTTGCAAGTTCAAGGCCAGGCTAGGCTGCATAGTGAGACTCTAGCTCAAAAAACAAACAAAATTTTAGAGACCAGTTCATGAAAATTAAGAATTTCATTATGGAATAGTTGTATTTTAATCATCCATCATAATTCCTTAGCCCTGCAAAAACCTGAGCTTCATTAACTCTTACAAGGAGCTTGTACTCCTAGCAGTAAAATGGTGCATCAGTCAGCTTGCTGTTGCAATGACAAAGTGCCCGAGAAATCAGCTTATCGGGGGAACAGGGCATTTTGGCTCAAGGTTCAGTCCACGTATCCTGGCCCTGTTGCCTTTGGTCCTGTGACGAGGCAGTGTGTCCTGGCAGAAGCCTATAGCATGGGAAACCTGCTTCCCTTGAGGCTGCTGGGGAGCAGAGAGAAAGGTAAGAGGGGCCAGGGTCCAGTGTCCCCTTCCAGGGCACAACCTGAGGGACCGACTTCGACTTCCTCCTCCTCCTCCTCGCTCCCACCTGAGCCCTCTGCCGCCTCCTGTCACAGGCTGGTGACCAGGCCAAAACATGGGACCTTTGGGCGACATTTAGGAGCTAAACCAGAGCATGTTCTCCGTTTCTATTTGTTGGGCTTTATGCTTTCTTATCTATTGTTGATTTTCAGTTTTAAGATGGATGAGTTATTTTATACTGAGATTATTCTAGGCACTCCTAAATCAACAGTGGAAAAGATTTTGCAAAAAATGTTAGTAGGAAACGTGAACTATACTTCTAGAGTTTAGAACTCTGGTTCTTCCACAGAGATTCAGCTCTTCAGATTGTCTGTGAGATGTTTGGGTCCCCTTTCATCCATAGTGACAGAAGCTACTGAAATCCAGTGTTGAGACTTCTTCTTTTTTTTTTTTTTTTTTTGTCTTTTTGAGGCAAGGTCTTGCTACACAGTTCAGGCTGGCCTTGAGCTCACTTTGTAGCCCAGGCTGGCTTCGAAATTGCAGCAATCCTCCTGCCTCAGCCTCCCGAATGCTGGGATAACAGGCGTACGCCACCACACCTGGCTGAGACTTCTTTTTATTTCACTCATTTAAGCAGTTTTTCTGTGGTAGTAAACATAACTACTTATTGACCTGTCAAAGGTGACATTCACTTTGGCAGAGTAACTAATACTAGGATTCACATTTCTGCACAGGTCTGAGTATATGACAGTGATAGCGAAACTTTCAGAGCTTTTGATGATAATCAGCTGGCTACAGCATGCACGCCATGGGTTGGCCACCACTGGTATAGAAAGAATCCGGCTGTGAGGTTATTTCTAGTCTTTTATCTTAAATACTCTTCTGTTTTTCTGTGTGTGTTTTTTATAAATACTAGAGGCAAAGAAGAAGATTGAACAGCAGGGTGGCTTCACATTTGAAAACAAAGGCGTCCTCTCTGCGTTTAACTTCGGGACCCTGCCCAGCAACAACTAAAGCAAGGGACATCAGTTGACCACAGGCCACCGACTGTGCGGTTTCACAGGGGGTGGGGTCAGGGGCGGAGCTGAGGGGTGCTTTTCAGGGCCTCCTGCCACACTGGTCACCGTCTGGCACCTGGCAACACTCTCATCCACTCCTTTCCCTGAGACCCTTCCCCCCGAGATCCTTATTTTCAGCAGCTACTGTAATGTACGAGCGAGGAAGAGCAGAATCAGTGCATTGAAAAGGACGGCCATCTGCTCCACAGGCGGAGGCCCCGGGGGGTTTTCAGAGGATTGGATCCACTTGCACGTCTCAGGTTTTTGCCATGCAGAATCAATAGATTTATGCGGATAACAGTGCCTTCTGTTGTACATGACTTATCAGAAACATTTTTTGGAGTGCATTGCAATTTTTTTAAAGCATAAAACATATTTCTAGATATAATGTAAACCTTGGTTACATGTCGACTTATTCTGCATTTTACTCTGTGAATTTACTGGTAGGCAGTTAGCTGCAGGACACTCTGGTTTCAAAACCATCACTGCCCCTTCGCCCGCCGCCCTGCTGCAGGGGCTGTCTTCAGGGGCTGTAAAGTGTGCGCTGGCTCTGGTTTTTCATAAGGTGTTCTGTGGCTTTTTAAAGAAGTGTCTCCCCCTTCCACCATATTTTTCTACCTTGAAAGGGGTGGTGTTTCTTTCAGAATCAGCAAGTGCGTGTATCAGTTTCCTTTCTAACCTGGTAGGTGTAAGTTCAGGAGTCAACAGCTGCGTGGCAGCATGTGGCGGGGCCTCGCTGGTCACTGGTGTTAGCAGCACGTCTGAGTGGATTGCGAGTCGTACTCAGGCAGTGAATTCTTCGTTACACCTAAAGCACCGTCGCGCTGCTAGCGGGCAGGCTTTCTGGACGGGGCTCACATCTCAGTAACTCATTCCAGCCGTGTTGGGCCAGGGTCCAAAGCATTTTATAATGACATTTTTTTTATTTAACAAAAGAGCCAAGCAAATATAATTTCCTGCTTTCTCACCCATCTGAATTTTTTTCTGATCTAATTTGTTTTAGTCATTATTATAGCAGTTTGGCTTCTGAAATTTTCTAAGCATGGAGTATGTTGGTCATCTTCATGCTTGATGTAACGTGACCTACAGAAAATATTGCAGATGGAGGTTTTTCTGAATTATTCAAGACCAGAATATGGATCTGCGTGTTTTCATGCAGTACAGTGAAATGTACCTTGAGAACTTAGCATTTTACAGGGTTTCCTTTTGTGTGTGTGTGGAACGTCTGCAGGTCAAATTTCCCACCTGTGACTGGTAGAAGTTTTCCCAGGTGCTTCCTCTATTACCGACCCTTATTCACATTAACTGTTTAAAATTTTAGGTTATTGAAGTAATTTTTATAGAAGTGGCCTGAAAAGCCGAGTTCTGGGGTTAAAGGAGCCTCTGCTTTCCCACCTCTACTTCGGGGTGTGGGAACCAAGAGCCTGTCCCTCCGCCCCGGCAACTAGAAGACGGCGTGGGGGGAGTCTCAGAGGGTTTCGGAGCGCTCCATGTCCCATGCGGTTCAATTTTAACGTGCGTACAAGACCTTCACACTGGATGGTGCGAGGCGTGTGCTTTAGAGATTTATTTTGTGATGTGTTGTCTTCTGCAGTATTAAAGGGAAAGAAGTGTTAATGTGCATCACCTTATCTTGTTTTTAAGCCAGAGTAGTTGTATGATTTTGTTACCAGCAGTGCTAACCTGAATGTGATCTGGTTACCTTGGAAATGCAGGAACTTACATGAATGTACTGTAAAATAAAATGCGAACCGATCCCTGGGATTCCAGTCTCTTCTGTGTGAAGCGTTCTCTGAGAGGGGGAGGTGGCTTAGGTGGGTGATGACTGGGGTTCTTCATCTGCGAGGCTGCAAGGCTTTATCTGAGCCGGCCAGGGATTGCAGGACCTGCGGCATAGGGGGCGTAGTCGAGCGCCTGGGCCCAGGCTTTGACCAGGGACTCTAGACGGGCAACAGAAGCCCCGGGAGAGCACAGGCCACTCAGCCGCAGCAGCACATTTCGAGAAGAGGAAGGGCGACTACAGTGGAGCCATTGCCGAACTGTGACACACGGGGAGTGGCCAGCACTGCTTGGGAAAACTCCAGCCTTTTGAGTGTCAGTATGTCCCCGTGTGACAATGAGACCTTCTCCCCGTGTTCAGGCCAACCCGAGCCAGGGCATTTTAAATCAGTGACACTTTCTAAGGTAGAAAACAGTTATTTCGCTGGGCATGGTGGCTACGCCTGTAATCCCAGCACTTGACAGGCTGAGGCAGGAAGATCACTGTGAGCTCAAGGCCAGCCTGGGCTACATAGTGAGTTCTGGCCTGAACTACAAAGTGAGACCTTGTTTCAGAAAAAGAAAACAGTTATGTTAAATTGCCCTTCAAGTAGTAGAATCAACAAATACATAGTTTTCTGTATAGGAGACTGAAAACTATAATAAATCCATGGAGGAAAGCAAAGGAAACTTGGCTGTATGTTAAGGACCCTTCCATGTACAGATGCACACACCATGCACACATGACTCATCTGCACAGACAAATCCAGAAGGGCCGCCGTGCATGCTAACCTGCCCTGCCCTTCCTCCTTTGGGATGCACGGATGCGGCTCACTGTGGCTGGGCTGGGTGTTTTGAGCAGTCCGCAGCGAGCAAGGCTCCAGAACCAGCAAGGAGGATGTTCTGTGCTTTGTGGCTGGACTGTTTGGAGAGAAGCACCGTAGTCACGGCTGGTCCTGCGGGCAGCAGGTCGCTGGTGGTGGGAGAGGCTGGCTGACGCGCTGGTAGAGGAAGAAAAGGGGTGCAGGGTCTGCTGTCGGGAAAGGGGAGCGGCTGCGGCCACTTGCTGCGGGGCACATGACAAGCAGCTCACCTGGAGACTACCCAGCTTGAGGAAGGGACTTCCCAACTGGAGGGGCCTCAAGACTTCCCACAGAATCTGGAACTTACAGGGGCTGGAAGCCACCCAGGCAGGAGTGGCCAGGTGGAGACTTTCCCCCGAGGAGCTCCAGAGGCTTGAAGGGAAAACCTGAGAGATGGGAGCTTCACGGCAGGGTCTCCTGGGCACCTTTTGGCAGTGACCCTTGACCCAGCACACACTTCCTGCTGCCTAGGGAGTGACAGCCATACCCTGTCTCTCCCTTGCAGTCAGACGCCCCTGGACCTTTCCTGCAGCTGCACCTTCTTGCTGATTTCCGTGCAGTCTGATCCTCCAGTGTCGCCGGAGCATCTCCTGGAGCATGTCAGGGAGCTAGCATTCCTCCTCTTTTGCAGCACTGTTCTGTGCTGCCTTGAATTGCTCCCATCATCAGTTATAGACTTGACCATGTTACAGGCTTGCAAGGTATTTTGTAGACGTTGCACTCATAATGCCTTGCGTCTGGTGGCCGAGCATGGTTAATAGAATGAACAAGCGGGTAACTGAGTGCTGAGGCTCTGCCAAAGAGCTTGGAGCCTAGAACATCTCATGGGCCCAAACAAGACCTAGAGACAGTAGGTTCCTGGGGAGGCCTTGGCTTTTATAAGGAGTGGGAGCCCCTCCCTGCAAGGGAAGGGTGCGGGGTCAGTGTGCCCTGCTTCCTGTTTCCGTGTCCAGCGCGGGCTTCATGTGCTGGGGCATTCAGGGTAGTTGTGGTTTCTTTCCTCCGCAGCCCTGTTTTCCTTCAGTTCTACGATGTAGCAGCGCTTTCTCTTCACTCCCCTCCTCTCTGCCTAATTTCTAAGCTTGTCCATCCCGGGGACACTCACGGCCTCCTCTGCACGCCCAAGCGCCACAGTTCACTGATTCTGTCTTGACAGTACATTCCAAGTCTTTCCTTCTTTCTGTATTTCCTCAGTGGAAGCCACAGCCATCTCTTTCCCAGTGTGCTAGTATCTCTAAATCTGAGGACTTCGCTCCTGCTCGTGCGTCCCACCTCACTGTCCTTACCTGTTGTTCACACAATAGAATGATTTTTTTAAAGTGCAGATCTTGACTATGTAACAGATTTGACTAAGACATCGTCCTTACATACCTGTGCTGGCCTTCGTAATGTGGCCTGTTCTCAGCTGTCTCATCACGTGCCGAGTCCTAAGTGCACTCCTGCTGTGAACTGGTTTCTTCTCTTTCCAACTGGTT